AATTCCAGACCGATGGAGACTTAAAATGATTAACACTCATTGTGCTTTTCTTTCATATATGTATTCTTTGAGGCAACTCTGAAGATTCCAAGCCTAGATACTATGCCCCCCCCAAAAAAAGAAAAAGAAAAACAGCACAGGTATCAAAATGAAGTGCTGTGTACTATATATATATATATATATAAATTATGACGAACTGCTATACCAATACAAACCAACAGTATCTGATAGCACATCTAAACTAGTAGAAAGATCTCCCTGAAATCACACAGCATAGATAATTACGCCACATGCAAAGTATCGGTATCTGCAGATTGACATGCAGCGCTAGGCAGGCAACTGCCTTTAAAACACATATGAAAATTCAGAGTTTACTACAGAGCAGCTACTGAGATTAGTATTCAAATGCCACCAGCTTAGAAAATAAGAGAGGAGAAATTAGCAAGTACTAACAATCAATAACAGATGTTATGTTTGCACATCCAGTATAATAAGTTCCCTCTGGATAAATATAGTACAATGCTGTAACCTGTTAGTCATAGGTTACGTGTGTATGTCAACAGATTCAACTGAATCATGCTTGATAAAACAGGAAGACATGTATTCTTACTGCTATTATCAAAAGGTTTGATTTTTTTTTTTATTTTTACTCAGTGAATACATTTATAGAGATCCAAATAGTTGAACCAGCAGATATTTATTCCCATTATCAACAGACTGTCACTTTAAAGGAAGTTCTAATGTTTTTTTTTTCTTTCAAAATGTCTGTATACTTCTAGCTTCAAAAAAACAAAGTAGAAAAGGTTGCAAGTGCTGGGACACTCTATATCAGACGTCCTATTATTAAGATTTGGTGCCACTTTGGGTGATTCAAGAAGAAAAACTGACACAAATATAAATTTGTTTCACAAAGATGGGTATTCTGAATTAACGTGGCATGGGGTTAATGGCAGGACAGCATGTTTTTATACTGGTGTAGCACTGACTAGCACAGATTCTGTGAGCAAAAATCAACATATGTTAACATTCAGGCAGTACTGACAGTGTCTATTTGCACTACTCTGCTTGTTTCATTGAGACCCTAAAACGTGTCAGATTAGGGAAAGGCATGTTACTCGAAATATCTTACTCTGCTGTCACGAGCAGATGTTTTCAGTGAATTTAAATAACCTGCCCTGTGAGGCAGGACTTGCTCCACTTTGACTCTTCTTTCATTTGCACCTGTACATGCTTCAGTGTGAACCTACTTTTCTATAATTACACAGGTAAACTAAACAACTAAAATGTCTAGAAAGTAAAAATCAACCCCTGTAAAAGAGTATTACTGAAATTACACTACCAATTTAGCACTAGCGCAGAAGACGCCTATCCTAAGAACTCTGTACATCCAGGGTTTTAAAGGTACAGCATGCAAAAGTCTGAATACCTCCGGTCACATTGCATACACATTGTTGATTTTCTAAGTGAAAATAAATTAACACATCCTGTACAGGGAACAATCTGCTGAGTTTAACATATTTTGGAAATATATGCACCATAAAACATACCATAACTTTTACACAGGCCACATTGTCTTTGTCAATATGTTAAATTTACCAAATAAACATTAATTCTGCATAAACAATTAACTTAGAAAATAAACAAACAAACAAAAACAAAAAATTTGACAAGGGCCGTCCAAACTTTTGCTTATGACTGTAGAAGAAAACAGTAAAATAGTGATGCTATAATCCAGCCTACACAAGACTACTGAAAACAGTAGGAGCATGTTTTACGCAGGCCTCCTCCTGGTGTCGTTTATTTTATTTGAGAGGGTTTTAGTCGATGCTGTGAGCTACACAGAATTCTTTCAGCATAACCATTTATTAGGACATGATATATATATATATATTTTTTTTTATTTGCATATTTTTTGATGCTGATGCAGATACTTACACCCTTATAAATTACAGAAATTCAGGGCAACTTCTGCTTGATTGCCATATCAAAGAAATCTAACACCTATTTTTTACAAGTCAGTAAAATAAAAAATGGAAACATTTCTGCATAGTAGCTCAACTTTCTGCTTTTGCAGGGTAGAATAAATGCACTGTCAAATATCGGTCTGAATTATCGGTCAAAGTGGATCATCTGCCCGATGCTGATAAATTTTGCTTGAAATCTGCCATTACTGGTATAATTTTGATATTGTGCATTGCTACCACTGAAAAGTCTATGGTATGTATCAGCTAGCCTTAACCTATAATTCACAGCTGCATGACGCCTGAACTCACTGTAAGAAGGAAAGCTAATAGAATGATTTATACCCTTCCAGCTGTTGACTGTAGTTTATTTCCAACAAAGCTCATATGAGGAGCTATCTATAGATATCGATAGCTATTCTATCAATATTTGCAGTTAAACCACACAAAACCTCCCAAAAACAACTGCGTGAGCATTCTTATAAAAAACACATCTATATGAAAAACGAATAAACGTTGGGGGAGGGAGTGATACCTTGTGACAAAGGCCCAAGAGGGCCGTGTTTTCTTGGCTGTGTATGGGGATCTGAGGCCAAAGCAGGGGCTCACATTCTCGCTGTAAGCGGCTTTCTCCCCGGGTAAACGATGTGTGCAACTTGCACACCTCGCACATCACTAACGTTACGCTGTCCAGGTGTATCGTGCACCTGCGTGTAATCTATTCAGTGAATATCGATCGCTCAGCGTGAACCGGTCACTTAAGAGAACAAAATAAACAGCAGCATGGTAGCTTTCGAGCTATACTCAGGATCCGGCGAAACACAGTTAGCTGATCATCTCAATACTAGAGCACTGGCGGTACCAGTGGCGCGAATAACGGCCATCATGCGTTGTTTGGTTGACTGCTTATCTATCGGCACATAGACAGCGGAGTAAGTCCCGCTGACTCCCATTCCTTCAACTTTTATCCCATTTCATTCACATTCCGGTGCTCAAACTACCCCAACCACAGCTGTAGCTTTAGCATCCCTTGATCAAAAAACGACAACCGGTATCTTATCGGCTGATAACCGTTCGATGGCTGACTAATTTGCAACACTATGTTAGCTAACTAGCTAATAGCTGCCTGAAGATGCGAGAGCCAAACAAGAAAAGCAAAGCATGCCTTCTTTCGGTAGCCTGTTAGCTCCACGGCTATGTGTGGTACAGCGGGCTCCACACAGAGCCCTGAAGCCTTCGACAGCACAAGGGACCCTTACTGGCTAGCTTAGCGCGCCTTTTCACCTCATAAGGCATTTCTACACAGCTAGCCAGCGATAATAATCATGAGCTTTATGATGGGAGTTGTGTCAAGTTTGTTGCAAAGGTAGACTCAGGTTACAAATGTATTCATTTTAAGGACACACAGAATGCATTGTCTTGCGACGACAGTCGGCTGGGTTTCAGAATGGCTAGGTTATCTAAGTAGCTAAATTTATGGCGAAGTCTTGGCGTCAGTTTCTTACCACCTAGTCGGCAAGCTAGCTAGCAAGCTAGCAGCAAGAATCTATTCTTATAAACGCGCTAGCTAGCTAGTTAGCATTAGCCAGGCACATAAGTATGCAGAACTCACCACATCCGATATTACCCGGGCCTTTCCTCGGCAATGAACACAGAAATACTTCTCAGGCTACACAAAAAAACAAAGCAACTAGTCAGACCGTTAATGTCACTAATATATCGAAGTGGCTGGAGCTCCTTGACTTTCCAATCTGAGGAGAAGATGGACTGACGTCTGACCGGCCACCGACCGCGCCGTTACAGTTACCGTTAACAGCTCCGAGCGCGAGAAGTCTCCAGTTCTATTCTTCAGTTGTTCACGAGCGAAGCAGCAACATGTGCAGAGTTTGAGTCAGGAACGGCAGACTGTTGGAGGTGTGCATGTGGAACAGAAATCGGCATTTCTTATTAAACATCAAAAAATCTTTGATTTGTTACTTGTTTATAAAGAATCTGTTACTGAAAAGAAGAATGTTTAAAGGGATACTTGTGGAGTATTTCTTTAAAAGATACAAATGTATTTTTGCAAGTCGTTAAATCCCCCTGCCAACTTTGAAATGAGCTCGCCCACAGTTTACATGGGCGCTGTGCATGGCGGGAAACGCAGTGCGAAAACGCTCCATTTTTGAGTCGGGAAGTTAATTTGTTGTCTAAATCCTATAATCGAATTTGGTCTATTTAAAAAAAAAACATAGGTATTTTTTATTCAGTTGATTAGTGAATAATGATTCGAGTCAAATAAGACGATTGGCTTTTCACCATTTGACAGCAAGATAGCTTACAGTTTAAAGCAGTAACCTATTTTTGAAAAGCAGGCTTAAAGGGGAATTCCACCCATTTAAAAAAAATGTAGGCATAATTCAATCATTGAGATGTAAAAACATTCATTCAGTGGTTTGATGTGAAATGGTTCATTGTAGAGAAACTTACAGACTTCACAGCGGTGGTGATAAGAACCGGGGTCATAATGTCTACAACACAAATCCAGTTATTTTATTTACTATCCAAAACGACCAGTGAGCCTACACACTTCTTAAATGTATATATTTGATGCTGATAATGTTAAAATAGTGGTGAATCTAGAAACAGAAAGTTTTATTGGGGACAACTTTGCCTTATAACACCTTACAGGTATCTCTCCAATACTAATGGATTTTTAAAAAGTACATTGTAGCCCAAAAGTTTATCTCAGAACTATCATAGAACAATGTCTTGGGAATCATGCTGAGTATTTCATCTAATAACTTTTTTTTGTGATGTAGCCTTTAGAGGCATTAAACTTTTCAGATGTCTGGGTCCTATCACCACCACTGTGAACAATTCTGACTTGGTAAGTTTCTCTAGAACAGAGCATTTCACATCAAACCACTCTGACTTTGTTTACATCTTAGCAATTGACTTATGGCAGCATTTTGAAAAATGGGTGGAATTCCCCTTTAAAGTCTGTGTGCAGGAAAAAGGTCTTATCAAGTCAGGAGCAGGACACAAAGCAATGACAGATGTGATATAGTCTACATTTTATTGAAATCTTGGCAGAAAGAGTGCAAAAGTAGCTTGGAAGAGTCTTCACATCACCATGACAAAGTAGTTGAAAAGGGGGACGCTAGAGTTACAGAACACAGAAGCGAGGCTGTTACACTTAGACTTTGGGAAGATTATAATAAATAACTATACATTTCATAAAATTAGTCATATTTATAATAACAAAAATAAAGCAAGAGAAAAAAGAACATTGACCAAACATGGAGGATGTACATCACAGCAAACAAAGGAGAAGGGAAAGTCTTGGTTAGCCTCCTGAAGTTAGCAGATAGGTGTATGACTCTACTAATATTCGGACGCACATAATACATCTTTTTGTACAGTTTATCGTATTACGACTTAACAGAGAGAGAGAGAGAGTAGAAAGACATGCATAAAAGGTCTGTATAGAATGAACTGTACAAGAATAAGAATAAACCAACAGGCATTTCAGTGGCTATTGCAAATAGGCTGAAATTGGACCAAAAAATAGTATTTTTCCTTATACAGCCTGTTGCGCCCCCATGTGGTTTATTTCATTGATGAACAAATGGCACCTCATATTGCAACGTTGTACCATGGCAGTGGTGCACTGCCTCATCTTCAATGTATCTAAAGCAAACTCTATGATGGATAAAGTACATTAAAAATATAAATACATTAATAAGAGTATATCTGTTTTAGGTTAAACTTTATGTTAGACTGTACAAATCTATAAGGGTGTTGCATTCATAAGCTCTGTTCTGATTGTGTGTGGTAAATGATTATGAAATGATCAGCGTCTGCTACCAGAATAGAAGTATTTACAGCTGTTTCCGGCAGAGGCCTCAGCACAGGGTCGATCGTTATGTGGTGTAGGTCTGAACATGCACACAAAGGGATGTTACACTCTAATTCTGTGTTAGTAACAGTCCCCAAAGCCTCAAACATGTAATTGTCCCTTTCTGCAAGGAGCAACCTTCCTCACGCAGCTGGTCATGACTCAACAAATGCTAAGAAAACAAAGCTATTCTATAATTTGTATCTGAGTGCACCCCTCCCCACCCACCCCACGCCCCCCAAAAAAACTTTGTACAGCCTTGAAATATTAGCTGCTACTTTGAAATCCATGGTCTAACACCCACCAGTGTTTATTGGTCTAATCTCTAACTGATGCATCTGTAGCATGTGGTCAAATTCCACAGACAGTAGTTTTTAAGTGTTTCAGTCAGAAAAACCTAAAATGTCAATGGGCTTTCTATTTTGTTACCCGAAGGAGCTCTCAGAGGAACCCTCAGAGCCTTCTGTAAATTCAGAGGATCCATTCTAATGTTTTCTATGAAATTAAAAAACTTTTTTTTCTCTGTGGCATCTAGGTAGATACAGTCAAGTGAGCTCTCCCATTGGTTTGGACTTCAGAAGCTGAACTGAAGGCCCAGCATCAGATTAACCACTAACATAATAAAGAACTGACAATGGAATCAATCACCTTTTCATTTCCGATGTGTGGGACCAATTTTGTGAGAAAAAGCCCTCTGGAAGTTCTAGATACGTCACTGCCTGCAGATATGGTGAGGATTCAATCACTTGTTAGAAATGGAAAAGAGTGGCAGCAGCCCTATCCCAGGCCTACTGAAAGGAGTCACTGCAAAACTGCTACATACAAGGTAAAATATATGTTAATATGTCTGTTAAGAGCTTTACATAAAACATGGAATATCTTTTACAAGCTTCAAATCTCCCTGTTTAATCTAGAACGGCCAAAAAATGCTAATGTGAACTGCTGTTAGCTTAGCGCTAACACTTTACAATTCCATAGAGGCGCTAACAAATCAATTAGCATTATCATGGACATGTTTTTTTCATTCTTTTTGACATTTTACAACATAAGGTGTTGTTATGTCTGTCTGTGTTAACTGACCACATGCTACAGATGCAGCAGACAGAGATTAGGACAAAAAAGCTGGAGTATTCCTTTAAGTCTCTCTCAAGATTTACCTACTGTGGTTTGTCCCTGCGCTCATGTAGGCTTCATAAACCCCTCCCTGACACCCCTCCCCTTGGTGACTGACCCAGTCGTGCAGCACCTCTTTGCCCATCTCTCTCCTCCTGGTCAGCAGCCGGTTGACTGTGCACCTGGATATGGGAGGGTGGGGATGGTGGTGGGTAGGAAGGTGGGGGGATGGTTAGGTGCGGTAAAGAGGGCATGGGTGGCCGAGGGGTGGTGGGAAGAGGTGGTGGGGTGGAATGATGTTGGTAGGAGCGAGGGCGGGTTGAGGGAGAAGAGTTGGCACTTTTGGCCCTTGGAAGGGTCTCAGGACAGTCGCTTATCTGCTCCAATAGTGAGGGCATATCACCTTCGATCTTCTCAAGCACTGCGGCCATTTGCTTTTCAATCTGTTCAATCACGCTGTCCATTTGCCAGTCAGAACTGGCTCCTCCGGCTTGCTCTAGACCACTGTACACTGCCCCACTGCCCACAGAGTAGGGAGAGCAGCACGAACTTCCATATGAAGCTCCATGGCCAAGCTCTCTTTGTTCCTGCATATATGCTGTCTTGTTACGGCCCAAACTTGAGGAGCCTACCACTCCATAAGGACAATGCGCATGTTTTCCGGACTGAGCTGACTGACTGGACCTGTTTGTTTTGCCTCCTTCCTTGTCTCTGCCCCTTGGACTGACCTCTCCTATTGTTTTGGCCCCTACTTGCCTCTCTGCTACTGCCTCTGGAAGCTGGGTCTGACACCAGCTATCAGGAGATACCTCCTGCTGCTTTCTTGCTACTTCTGCCTTCTCCTCAGCCGCACTCCCCGGCTGGTCTTTGTCAGCAGCCGCTGGACTGCTAATCTTGGGACCAGCCCCTGAGCCATGATCCAGAGAAAGGTTGGCGGCCATTTTGCGACGGTTTGGGGTATCGGGGGAAGATGTCGCTTTCTTCTCTGAGCTGCTAGGAGTAGAGGTTTCTTTCTCTGAAGTGACTTTGTTCCCTTGACAGTCAGAGGGTTTGGTGGGTTCAGTGATGGTGGGTTTGTCTTGGCCAGAAGGAGCCGCCGTTTTGCGAGAGTCATCCCCAGTCGCTTTCTTTTCTTCCCCTTTGTCCTGCTCCTCCCCTTGTGTTTGGGTTGAGGAGCTTGTTTGAGCAAAGGGCTTCATCGTTTCAGAGTGTGAAGGAGTAATTCCTTGATCTTTTTTCTTCTCTTGTATTTTCTTCTCCTCAGCCGTTGACTGAGCAACTATTCTTTCTTTTGCCTCCTGCGTTTTTTTCTCCTCTTGATCCTCAACTGGTCTGTTTTCCACTGTCACCTCATGCGATACGGTCACTGATTCAGCGGAGACACCCTTACTCTCGACTCCATCAGCTTTGACCCCCTCCCCCTGCCCCTCTGGTGCCCCTTCCGAAGAGCCCATGTCCGAGGCGCGAAGACGCTGCATAAACGTGGTGACTCGGATCGCTTTCTGGAAAATAGAGCAGGGAATACAAGGAATAGTCAGATTTCATTCAGTAGACAAACATGTCAGATTTGAGTAAACATCATCACTGGACTATCTGAGTGGTCATTATCCTGGATTTCATAGGTAAAGTGTAAATGTTGCTTTCAACACTCAAGTTAAAGGTTATCTTTTTTCTGCATCAATGAGTTTAAACTGAAAGAAGTGATGCATTGAATTTACTTGATTCAAATGTGTACAGCACTGTGAAAAAGTCAGAGACCCTTGATTTATTTAATTTCCAGTCGGAACATCCATTATTTAGTATGTTCGCCTTTTGCCTTTATTACAGCTTCCATTCTTTTTGGGAGACTTGCTTTCAGTTTTTAAAGAAATCTGCAGGGATATTTTTCTGCACTTCCAAAGTTCAGTTTTAGGTTGCATTTTCTGCGCCTCATGATCCAAGCAATTCCAAACACATTCACTAATGTTGAGGTCTGGACTCTGGGGTGGTCAGTCTGTTGTTCTGAGAACACCAGCAACTTCTTTGTTTGAAACGCAAATTTTTTTGCAAAGTTCTTTGTTTATTTTCTTTTTTCAGTAACAGTTTCTTGACAGCTACATATCCTTTCAGACCCATAGCATTAAGTTATCTTGTCACAGTGGAAGGATGGACAGAAACAGCTTTTTCAGATCTTAAGAGTGGCGCTTGAAGATGAAAGCTTTAGGTACTGTTTATCTGATGGTGATAGTTTAGGTGGTCTTCCATGTCTTGCTAGGAGCCCCATTTTCTCTGCATACTGATTTTTAATTGAATGACTTTCTCTTTTAAATTTATTGTTTTAATCATGTTTTTAATTATGTTTTTCTATTCGCGTTTACTTTTTCAAACAACTTTATTTTCTGATTTTGCAGTTTCTCATTTGTAAAGCACTTTGAATGACAGCAGTGTATGAAAGGTGCTAAATAAAAATCTTTCCCTGCATTGCCTACATCTTTTAATAATTTTTTGAACTCGTTTATCACAGACTTTCCTCATCCTTATGCAAATGGATTATCTTATATCTAACCTCTTTAGAAATATGTCCTGAACAATGAACAACTTGTACTGAATGACTGGTTTGACTGGAAATGAAATGTTTCTGACTTTTGCACAGTACTGAACATCATTTCCACCTGAATAAAATCTATTACATCAACACAATTACTGCTAAAAGTAAGTGAACTGAAAAGCAGAACTGTTTTGATCTAATATATTCATGTGGAAATGATATTTCAATGCAAATTTAATGCACTGCTTTTTCAGTGTAGAAAGAACCTTATTTACATAAGTACTTGAAATCTGATTGAAGCACGAGGTGAACTGGACCAATGGATCAGGGACACAGTCAATCATGTAGTGATAGAATGACCCTCTCTTCTCTGTCTGTCTCTCTTTGTCTGACTGTCTTTCTCTCTGCCCTACACTTATATGAATTCTATACACACACAGATACACAGACATACGATAGCTCCTCATACACACATACATGTGACACTTCGATGAAACTTTAGTCTGGAGTTTAGTCTGAGAGAGTGGAGGGCTGAGGAGAACTCTATCCAGGACAGTGTGGGTAGTGCCAGGCTGCATATGACTGGAGGCTTATGGGAGCAGCTGGGCAGTGATAGGCTTGCCACTTATGGACAGAAGGAGGCTTCAATAGAGAGAGACTCTTTTCGGCAATCACACTTGAACTCCACATTTCCTCACAGTGACCGCTGTCTAAAAGCCGGGTCATGGGAAACTGGAGCCATGACTCTTCACTGCAAAAAATGATATCTTGGCGAGCGAAAGCATTATATATGGGGAATATAGCTAATATGTCTGCTTATGTGATTGTTGTAAGGATTGTATTAGATTACTCAAACTTTTTCTGGACATTTTTACTTATAAAAAGCAATCTTACCAAGTAAATTGGTCTTACTGCACTGGCAGATCATTTTAGTTGAATTTCTTGAAACAAGCCACATTATCTGCCCCTGCACTAAGATAATTTCACTAGACAAAATGATGTAAAATAGTAATAAAAGTCTAACCTTATAACAATCTCATGAGAAATATTAGCCATAATGCCTATATTTAAGATGCTTTCACTTGCCAATATATAGTTTTTTTGCAGAGCTAGTACACTGTGTTCTCACTCGCATAGATATGAGTGCTCAAGTCGGTGATTGTCTTGGCAAAGAAAAGAGTCTGGGCCTCCGTACTGTCTTGCGGAGATCAACAGTACCTTCAACTCCTGGGTATCCCATGCGAGGGGAAAGGAAACGATCAACAGAGTGATCAGAACTCTTACTGTCACACTAATCACCAGCACTGCTGTCATGCACAACCTCATCATCATCATTGTCCTTGTCACCCGTATTATTTACAGTGTTGTTTACAAGAACAGCAAATTTGTTTACAGGCACAGAGGCTGATTTGTGAGTGTACAGACTCTTCTTACCCTCCACTTGGCCTTGGCAAAGTTCTTCTCAAACTGAGCGCACACGCCATCCTTCAAGTTCTTTTCTGAGGCACCGTTTCCAGCAATCCTGTTGGTGACACAGAATAACTCTGAGCTTTGAGTAACAAGAGCATGTTTAGATAAGTCATCCAGGTTAGTGTGAGTACTCTATATGCAGCTTACCACTCATGCCACAGTGCATCCTGTGCTGTAATTCTTAGCATTTGGTCAACCTCCATCAGCCTACACACCAGCTCTTTAGCTGTAGGAGTAGGAGAAGTGAATGGAGAAAGAGCCATTTGATTTTATTCATTAGAGTAGGCTGTGAAACACATATTTAAATAGAAATACACGACAGGCTGCACAGTCCAATGTAGAATATACAAGCTTGGCAAATGAAAGCATCTTAAATGTGGGTAATATGTTTAATATTTCTCACTATGAGATTGTTGTAAGAATATTAGAAAATTATCCAACCAATTTGATCTAATAAATTGGTCTTGCTGCACTTACAGATCATTATATTTCCTTCAAGAATGATTTCTTTAAACAAGAAACATTATCTGGCAATAAAACGCATGAAAATGCCTTCATAGAGGTGGATATTCTTATAATATTCTTAGACAACAACAACAACAACAACTCATCATAATGAGAAATATTAGCTATAATGCCTACATTTAAGATGCTTTGAAGGATGGATTACTAACAGGGCCACAGGGGCCTCTCAGTGCCAAGGGGCTTGGCAGGGCCTCAGATCACAAGGCCCAAGAGGGATTGGTCAATCCATTGCAGATATATACATGAGCAAACAGCACTTGATCATGTACAAATGGGTAAATAAGTGAAATACAGTCATATGTGCGAAGTGTAAGTGTGACGTGTATTAAGAGTGATCTAGGTGTGAACAACCTTGGTGAACCAAGTGAAAAAAGTACATATCCTCCCCAGGATACAAACCTAAATTTTCTGCAGATTTTACTGCACAATTTCCATAAGCTTTTCACAGGCCGCAATTTATGTATTATTTTTCCCGGTATGTTAAATTCAGTAATTGTGCATCTGAAATTTTCACTTTGAAAATCAACAAAACGTCACTTGACCAAGGACACTAAAACTTTTGCATACAAATGTATCTGTTTTCAATTACAATATGGTTCAAAAGACAAAATCTTGATTCAAATCTTACATAAACATCTTCAAATCTTACTTAAGAATTGTTATGGTGCAGACAAAAAAAAGCACAAGCGTTGTTTTTTTGACATGTTTCTGTTGGAGGGTGGGGGGGTTCCTCCAAAGACTCTTGTGCCCTGGGGCCCTGCAAGACATGATCTGTCACTGAAAGCTTTCACTTCTCCTAATGTCATTTTTGGTAGTGTAGGCTATAAAATATGAGCCTCTTTTGTGTACCAGCAGGTGAAATGTCGTCCCAGTAAGGAGAGTCAAACTCAAAGTCTCCAGCGACAATCCGGCAGAAGATGATACGGTTGTGCATGTCTGTGTTCTCCTCTTCTGTCTCATCATAGAAAGGAGGGTTTCCTGACAACCTGAAAACGAAGTATAATAATGGTATTACATATTTAACACCTATAAGTTATGAAACTTTCACTAATATAGATCAATAAATAATTACAATTACTCTGCAAGACCATTTTCTGGAGATGTGCAGTAAAAGTCATGCTAACTTTAAAGGAAAAGCAAGTTACCTAATGGCATATAGTATTATTAATTGTACTTAAAGCTAGCTTACAGCATGTACATGATGACCCCTACAGCCCAGCAGTCCACTGGCCTTCCGTACCGATGTCGAGCCACCACCTCCGGGGCTGGAAGGAACGACAGAAGCATGAAAATGAACAGAGAACAGTCAAGGCAAGCAAAAATATGATATCCACTGATCATCTGCTAGTTTTGTGGTTACCCAGGTACTCCGGCGTTCCACAGGGTTCAGTAATGGAGCCATTCTCAAATCTGGACAGGTAGAAATCCCGCAGAACCACTTTGTTGTGGTTATTTTCCGTGTAGTACATCAGGTTTTCCAGCTGAAATGAAAGGAGGTGCAAGATCAAGGAAGGAAAAACAGACAAAACAAAAATACACAAATAAAGTAATTTAAGATTGATCAACATTTGTCATTAATGCCTTGTACTAAGAGTGTAGCAGCCACTTTCAAACACAGAATTCTTCTACTTTGTAAATTGTGTGTTTTGTTATATGGAATACAGATGTGACCTCAAGATAGAGAACGTTTAAACCATACTATAGGATAATTCTAACGAGTGCCCTCATTTTAAATAGACCTTTCTTCTTTAAAAGTTAAAGGCTGCCCAAAAGACTGATTCCTTTATTGTCTCTTGGAGTAATATTCCCACTAAGTCATCGTTCAACACTCATTGTAAAACAGGATGGAATAATATATGTACCTGACATGGACCAGACAGTGAAATGAAATTATATTTGTATGACTTATATATAATTAAATGAATAATAATAATATGAAGTTGTCAGTGAAAAGAAGATATTCATCATATGTATCCTTTCCTCTGAGCATATATTTGAAAACATTGGCAAATAAAATCAGACCCATAACCGATGTTGAATTTGCTGAAATCTTCATGTATCTCTTCCACTCAGCACACACTGTTGTATTATATATGATGAAAGTCAGTAACCCCATTAAGACATCAGAAGCAGTGTCCTAAAAAGCAGATATAGTATAGGAGCTCTTGTACTGTATTTGTGCACTAGAGGGCACTATAAACACATGTCAAACTCTTCAGCAGAAGAGCACGATTACATTAATGACTACTAAGAGATTGATTAGGGCCATTAGAGTCTGCAACACTATTTATTCCATTCACATTAGTTTTGCACATTAAAACTAACCATAAGGAGCCATCTGTATTATCACAGTTGTTCAGCTTCATGAGTCAAACAGGGCTAAGTGTTTGGTTAATATCACTGTTTACTGTTTGGTTAATATCACTATTTACTGTTTCAAATACCCTGAAGTGACAGAGTTGAGTGTGCACACATGGACCCTCCACACAAAAAGTCCTCTTAACAACTTATGAATCACATCCTCAAACTATTGTTATTATCAGCTACAGGCTTACATAACAGTGAGCTATTGATGAAGTCATGGACCAATGAATAGGACACTGCAGGAATCAAAAATAACACAAAACCAATAAATAAACGTTAAGGAAAAGGTAAGACACAACTAGATATGTGCCTTTAGTCAATAATAAGGTATACTATGATATAAAACACAAGTAATATTGTTACTGTGTACAATTTGAAATACAGTCATTGCATTTTAATCACAGTTTAACCAAAGATTTTCAGATACAAAGAGTAGCTCTTACAAACTTGTTTTTAAAAAATGCAACATGTAAACAAAAAACAGAATGCAATGATGAGCAATTCATTTAAACCCTATATTTAATAGAAAATAGTACAAAGGCAACATATCAAATGTTGAAACTGAGAAATGTTATTGTTTTTTGAAAAAATATATGCCCATTTTGAATTTCATCCCAACAACACATTGCAAAAGAGTTGGGACAGGGGTGACGAAAGGCTGGTAAAGTTGTGTAATGCCAAAAAAACACTTGGTGGTTAATTGGCAACAGTTCAGTAACATAATAGGGAATAAAAAGGGCATCCCAGAGAAGTTGAGTAAACCACTTTTAAAAGACTGCACAGGAAAATAGTGCAACAATTCAAGAATAACGTGCAATAAAATGGGATGAAATATCCTTTGGTTGCCCCCACAAGTATATTGACGGTCGCTCAAGTACGTTTCGTCCCACTTTAACAATACCCAATTTCCATTTCGTAACCTATGTATGGGAAACACTGTCTTATATATCGCTGCTGTTGGAAGAAAACCTTGTATCTCCATTTTTGTCATTTTTTGTCGTAAATTTAATGATGAATGGACCAAAAGAAACGGCCCAAAATGACTTGGAAAAAAGTCTGGTTCCATTAACTTACATTAAAAGTAAAGTAGTGTTTTTCCTCCTCCTGCAAAGTTACCATTTGGAGGTTTTCTTCCGTCAACAGTGAAATGTAGGGTCGCTTTCCCAGGCAAAGATTAAGCCTACTCCTAAACTACACAGCATTCTGAATGGTGAATCTCCTCTGAAAGGAAAAGTAGTCTGAGAAGTTTAATCCCTGCCTGGGAAACTGATCCACAGTGTAAACGTAAAACGTTAGGTACATGCCGGAACAGTAATGTATCTTAAGCCCACCTTTAAGTTTCTGTGGACTATGTTGAGAGAATGGAGGTAGGCCACTGCCTCTAGGACCTGCCGGATTACGTTGGCAGCATCTCTCTCTGTGTAGTTCCCCTGGTCCAGGATCCAATCAAACACATCTCCACCTGTGGCCCTGTAACACACACACAGACACACTCAGTGAAACAAGATGTACATACACTGCAACAGAAATAATAAAAATCTTCTAACATGAGATTTGAATGATTATATGATTGTCTATATCTCTCTTGGCTTTGTCTAATGAAAATATTACTCTCTGTAGGGGTTTCATTGTCACTTATGGTGATAAAAGAAAGACATAACTGTCAACACCCACACTGATATGAATGAGGCCATTAGACCTAACTAATGTGTGCTGTTCAAACTGTAGAGTGTCATTCTCATAGAAATATTAGCATGAAAAAAGTCCCTTTAATACCAGACTTAAAAGAGATTAGTCTCTGGCTCGGCATGACACTGTGGGAATTATGAATGATCCCTGCTAACACAGGTCAGACTCACAGCTCTTGGATGATGTAGAACTCTTTCCTGGTCTCGAACGCATCTATCAGCTTCAGAATGTTTGGATGGTTGACCCTGTATGGAAGAGATCAGAGCAAACAGTCACCTTATTTTCTAACTAATAGAGAGGTGCTTCAAAAATAGCAACATGCTGTGCAGTTGGCTCAGCATGGAGGAAGGTATGCACAGAAGCGGTCCTCTCCTTTCTTAAAACTCACCTGCTTTCTCTCTCCACACACACACACACACACACACACACACACACACACACACACACACATACACATATACATATATAGGTATATACAATTCTCTCGCTCTCTTGTCTTGCATTCTCCATCAGAACTATGCTCTCTAATTCTCTTCTTCTCTGTCTTTCTCTCTCTCAGGCGCACACTCTAACAAATGCATCATCAGCTGTTGATGTTTTGAATTATCTCGTACATTTTCAGGATCATGATCTCGTTCTTGGCTGCCTTCCGTACTTTCCTGCCATCCTTCTTGAGGAATTTCTTGCACGCATAGACCTTGTCCGTCTGCCGTTCTTTCACCAGGCACAGCTCACAAAACTCCTTCCTGCAGAGAAAACAGTACCTTGTGTTGTGTTTCACTGAAGAGTAATTCCCTTTGGTGCCAAACTGTTCATTTACATGATATAATCATGACAAACTGCATACACCATATGATCACATAAACAAACCTAACCACTTGCACGACCTTACTGAATGAATTTATGCCTGCGGAAGGTGTTATGAATGCCCATTAATGGACGATAATGAACATCATTCGGTATAATGAGGTCATTAGACTGTAACTGGCAGGTTGCTATTCACAGGGAGATAATGATTTGTGTATTGACACTCACGCCTTTAGGACCTGTCCGATCTCGTATTTGTCTGTGATGTCTGATAGGCTGTGGTACGTCCGCCCATCTCGTAGGGCAAGGCACCCAAATGGCATGACAGCATCCACCTATGCAATGCAGGAAGAGAGGAAGAAAATATGCCCATCTCAATAAAACTAGTGTCATTCAACCCACAACACACGTCTCAACAGCTTAGCTTCACTGAAGACTGAAGCCGTCATCCATACACAACGCAATACGGTATAGCATTCCAATCCCTGAAGGTCTAAGATTTGTGTAAGATCATGTGCCTCACATATTCCCAGTGTTCACTTCGCTCTCGAAACTATTAATCGATCTATAAGTAAACAGCCAGAGATGGCACAATAGCACTTTGTCATCACCAGTATTTTTGTCAATACCGAAGCTGATCCCAAGTTTTAAGCTTGATACTAAGCTTACCTAAGCTTTAAAATGAGCTATTTTTAATGAAGCACTTAATTTAAGATGGCCATCTAAGGGCAATCTAAGGGGGCACAACCTCTAAGGCCCTATTGTCAGGAGATCCAGAGTTCAGTACCCAGTGGTGGCACAGACATGTGTGGACGGAGTCCAAGAGAGCATAATTAGCCTCACACTTTAAGGGTGGGTAGGAGGGCAGTTCAAAAAGTGTCCCCAGGGGAAGCACGTTAGCCTTCACGCTCCCAGCTTGGTGGCATTGTGTGATGGGGGGATCTAGCTAGCAGGTGGAACTGGCAATGACTAAATTGGGGAAAAAACTTGATAAAAAAGCCATTGCTCAAACTGCTTAAACACTCTAACACCCTACAAGAATAAATACAACATGTCCTCAGACCCAACCAGATGACATATGGCATCCTTCAAGGGGAACTCCACCGATTTTTCAAAATTTCTGCATAAATAAATGGTCAAAGATGAAACAAAATCATTTAGAGTGGTTTGATGTGAAATACTCTATTCTAGAGAAAAAAGACTTTTATTATTCAGAATTGAACAGTGATTGTGATAGTAACCAGATGTTCATAGTATTTAATGCCTCTAAAGCTCCCTCACAGAAAGTTATTACATGAAATTGTTATGAATATGCCTAATGCCTGAAACATTGTTTTATGATAGTTTTAAGACCAAGTTCTGGCTTAAAACATATTTTTAATTTATTCATAGCAGTACATGCAGGGTGTTGGAAGGCAAAATAGTCCCAAAAACGTGTATTATATCATCAACATTCCATATAAAACTTAGAAGACGTGTAGGTTCACTGGTGGTTTTGGATAGTAAATAAAATGGCTACTTTTTGTTGTAGATTTTGTGACCCCTGGTTCCCATCAGCACCACTGTAAAGAATTCTGATTTATTAAGTTTCTCTACAATGAACCATTTCACACCACACCACTCTCTGTTAATTATGCAGAAATTTTGAAATATTGGTGTAATTTCCCTTTAAGATGCAAATGTGTCTTTAAAATAAAGCAGTGGTAATTCTAGTATTATATTTCTAAAAGCTGTGCAATCTGTGATATTTCAGATGAGATCAATAACAGAAACAGAACTGATTTTTCCCTCTAACGTTTTCAGATTGGTGTGATCTCTGTAAGTAACTTGAAATTAGTCCAGTAATTGCAGGACTACAAGGCTAGGAAGGAAGATGACGTCAGTTACCCAAGCGGTATGAAATCATTCCAAATCATTCCATGTGTGTGTGTAAGAGTCTGCGGGATAATTTGGCTAACGCAGTGACATTAAAACTACTAGCAGCTAACATTAACACTGAGGAAGAGCAGAATGAGAGTGAAAACAATCTGCATCATCTGCAGAGGAGAGTAGACGGTTGTGAACTCTGTCCTGCTGCTGTGTAATCCTGCTCCTCTAATCTTTAATCCTGCATGCAGATTTGGGAGGTTGGTGTGGGGAGGGGTGGGATGTGGGACGACCTGGCTTGGGCGAGGGCTGGGGGGTGGACGGACGCAGAGATACATTACATAATCACATTTTATTAAATTGACTTTGGGGCTGGTGCACTGACAGAAGTGAAGGATTGGGCATAATGCCCTCTGCTTGCCTGGCTCTACGAATGCAGGCACCGAAAGGGGTGGCGTGCGTTCAGTCTGAGGAAGCACATTTCACCCGGAGGCAGGCTTGCACAGCTGTGCATCCACATAGGCCTCCTTAAGCTCTCATGCCCGCGTGATCTCGCTTGCTGATTTGGCAAAAGATGTGTTCTGAACAGCTGAACCGCCCTTAAGATAGAAACTGGCTGCACACTGTTTTAAATGCCAAGAGCCTGATGGTCAAGCAGGAGGTGTGCACAGACATTTGGACAGTGTAACTGTGCAGTCTATGCTGGAGATCAGTTTATCTCTGCAGGGATTATATTAACACTGGCGATCTTGCTGTGTGTGCGCAACATCTGTGTCGAATTCTGCTCATTCATTCATTCTGTTTCTGTATTTTAATGAATTGCGCATTTAGCACCTTAGTTAGCAAGTCAGGGCTTAATGTCAACTAACTGAGCTATATATAAGTATTGATAAGTGTTTGCATCGAAAATTGTATTGCAATCTTTTTGTGTGGCCAAAATACAGCAGAACAGCTGGCATTTTCTAATGGTGTAAGAAATAAAGAAAAAATGGTGTTATAAACAGGGCTCTGAAGTACTTGGGAATGAAAATGAAAACTGGAACCAAACTGTATTTTGCTCCTCATGAAACAAACTGCAAACATCTACTTTGCATTCCTTTCTAATTTGATACATTTTTTCCATTACAAATATATGGAGCCATTTATAAATCCTGTATAAACAAAAATAACGCATGGCCACAACTTACTAAGGCATGGGAACAAGATCATTAAGTCATGGCCTGACTTAGTAAGGCATGATCTCATTCCCACGCCTCACTAACTCATGGCAACACATTAGGATCTCGTTCCCGTTAATAAGGTGTCGCCATGCATTATTTTTATTAATGCATGAATTTCGAATTTCTAAGTATTCGATATCTCTCTCTTTTGCTTTAATGACATTGTGCACTCAAGCTGGCATGGACTCCACAAATTTGTGCAAAAGCCTCTGATCAGTAAATCAAATCTACCCGAAAGTCACGTTTCAAAGGAAAGAATAACACTAAAAGAAAATCTGACCTTTGTGTACAAAGGCCTTAACACGGTCAGTTTCACAAATTTGCTTCATTTTGAATGGTGACCTTGCGATAGTGCAGAATTTCCAGTGTATCTTCTTCATTTTAATTGTCATAATTTTTCTTTGTATCAAAATTTTCAAATTCTAAAACTTCATGTTTATTTTCAGGTTTAAGTGGAAAAAATACCAGATTTTAATGTGATCTCAGATGTTTGTACTCCACCATACATGTCTTACTTATGTCTTACCTCCCAAATGACTTTGCAGCAACACCACGTCTTGCGTGATTTCATTCAATGTATAATTTTACGCTCGCTGTGCTGCAGCTATTCACAGCTTCTCCATCTCCATTAGAGTTTGTTGTGTGTTGACCTTTTAAAGAGTTTGTGAATGAAGAACGAAGGTAAACTGAGCTTTCTATAAACAATTCTTCAACCTGCCAATGGTAAGGCCAATGTGAGGTAATGATCCTTCTTTCGCACTAACACACAACCCACTAGCACTAATATTAGAGTATCTCAGCACTATCCCCATGAGACCAGAGCGCTCGCTCGGAGAGGTCACGAAAATCATAATGCTCACGGAAGACCTGCTGCATGCGATGGCCTCCCTGCAGAGATGCGTGAAAAAGCATGAGGTGACGAGCATGCATTATGTCTGACGGGTGTCATGCATGGGTAGGTCAGGTCTGACAGCTGCCCTGGTTAGTTACACATGTAGGGCCACTATGCACCTCTATATTGTGTAATGCAGGTGCATCATAAGTATGTTTTTCTTATCTGTGTACATTTGAACATTACAATATGCAGAGAGAACTTCATTAATGCGATATTAGACAGAAAAGAAAAAGAGGAGCACATTAGAGATTATATTAGAGGCACAACAACACACGTCCTTTTGCAATACTGATTCTGAAACTGGCTATTTCACATATGATGGGCAACTAAAGGTACTATGCTTAATCTGCTGAAACACTTTATTAACATACAGGAAGAAATATATAGCCAATATATGGAAGCCCAGTCCCTTCAGAGAGAGGAGAACTGTTTTCTCTCTGTTTCTGGCAGCAGTATGTCAAAAATTTTGACTTAGTATCTCAAAATAATGTTTTTTTTTTTAGATTTTGACTTACTATCTTTATGACTTACTTTCTTTAAGGCTTATTTAAACTGGTATCTTGAAATGATCTTTTTACCTGGGATTTTAACTCATTAAGTCCAAATATTCCCAACATTTTGACTTGCAATATCGAAATAATGACTTATTTTCTTAGAATTTTGACTTAAATGTTGAGTCATTATTTCACAGCACTTCATCAAAATTTCAAGAAATAAAAAGTCATTACAATAACGTAGTAAGTTATTGTTTCAAAAAACTACATCACTAGTTTGAGATGCTAAGACAATGTCCAGACAACATGAGTCAATATATTGAGATCAGAAATTTTTGGAAAAATGTAGTTGATTTTTTTTCCTCCTTTGCCTGGTGAGAAACAGACATATCACTTATAGTTCAAATGTGTTTGAAATTAGACTATTTCTAATAAAGGAATTGTAATTCCCAGTGCAGCACTTAGCTGGACACATTCTCACGTTAACCTTATGCTACATGTTGCCACTGTCGTTACCACGTAACCGTCTATATTTCTCTTTACGTATGTTGTGCGACAAGCAATTTTGTGATATTTCAGGCTAAATTAATAGAACCAGAACCAGGCCAGATTTGTTCATTTTTCTTCAGAATTCCCATTCTAGTATTGGCCTCCTACCACTACTGGGTATTGGATCGGTATGATATCTACTCTACACATAATATTTCAGAATCTGTTCCACCACTAATGCATTTAGTTTTGATTGGGGACATGAATATTCATAGTGACTGCTCTACTTTGCACCCCTTCTACACTATCTCTCTCTCTTTTGGCCTCTCTCTCTCTCCCTCTCTCTTTCTCTCTACCCACTCAGACACACA